AGAGAAGCTGTGGGAAAGTTCTATAAGGATGGCACAGGTGACAGCCTGGAAAAATGATTGCATTTTTTTCATTATGTCTTCAGTCCAGGCTAGTTCCTTTGAAAGCCTTTCTGGAAATGCTGTGAGCTCCTTCTTAACAATAGGCTCGAGGCTTGCCATGCTCTCCGTGCCATGGTCCTTTCTTTCTTGCCTCCATACTACCTTCCTTGAGAACTTATCTGCGATACTAAGTTGGTGGTTTTTACTTCTTCGTGTTGATGACATAAACTCATGGTATTTGAACTTTAGAGACAATGTGGTGTAACAGACCATTGGCTTTGGAATTTTAGGACTATGCATAATCTTAGTTTTGCTATTAAGTAGCAGAAGGAATTAATCTTCCCAAGTTTCCTGAATTTAACATAAATTGAAGAATTATGTCAGTAGACTGAATGGTCACAGTTGGCAAAAACTTAACAGTGTGTAGGGGATAAGTGGAGCCTCAGAAATAATGGGGAAGGATTGAAGAAAGGAATGTGGAAGGTGGGAAATTCGTTTAGTCAAATAATCCAGATAGCGTTAACACCAAGGAGTCCCAACCACTGGGTGTTACAGAATCAAGAGTATAGGAACTTGCATTTACCCTGAGTTCTCTTCTTGAACAACCTTTGAGTAACATCTCTTCATTTCTCTTGAGAGTCTTCTCTCCAACTTTTATACCAATACCCATTTCTAAATTGCCTAAGATAATTTTAATTTTCTTTTGCAACAGAGATGAACCATATTTGTATTTCAACCCCAACTTTTAATGCAACCAGTGTTTTGGCCCTCCCTATTTTGTCAAAGTAATTAAAGTGAAACTGGTGAGGCAGATAGGTGTGTGTCCCCCTCCCCCTTTAAATTCTTGTTAGTTTGTAAGTAGCAAAGATATCTGGAAAGCCTCAAAACTAGGTTTTCTCTTCAGGATCGGAAAGTGTAAGATTGTGTTGCTTCATTGGAGGTTCTAGAAAAGGCCAAGGAAAGCAGGATGGGCCTGATCCAGACACCCTCTGTTGGATTAAAACAGTGAGATTTCCAGGAAACCTATAGAACATGATGACTTAAGAGTGCTAAACAATTCTTAACTCTGTTGTTTTATTAGCTGCATAATCTTAGATGAGTTTTTTTCTGAATCTGTGTCTTCTTCTGTTAAAAAAAAGAAAAGGTGAGAGGGCAGCACTTACAAAAACTATCCTGTCTACCTCTCACATGAAGTATTTTGTGACTTCAAAGTTCTGTACAGAGTACGTTTGAGGTTTTCTTTTTTTCATTTTTGGTTTTTGTTTTTGGATAGGACTCTTGCAATTTCAGATTTTCAGTACTTTGAACTTTTCACTTAGACTTCCTGGAGCTCCTCTCAGCCTTTATTTTCACCTGGTTTGAAGTCTTAGCTCCAAGATTGTTGAGCACACAGTAACTCAGAGCAGAGAAAGGCCCACTTCCACCATGGTACAAGTCCAAAAGAATATAGTGAAGGCTTTACCTCTACATGGCCAACTTTGTCAAAGAACACTTGGGTTTGACTTCTCTTTTGATATTCCTGTGTTTCTGTGGCTTAGACTACTGTGTATTAGTGAATATTTTTTGACCTATAGATTCCATTCTCCTTACAGATAGTCCAGACATTTTAGACTTGAAATATGCAAAACTTGATTTAGTATGTATTCAAATCAGCTTTTTAACACTGTATTTTCTTTCTCAGTTACATCATTATTCTTTCCCATGCTAGAAACCCTAATCATTTTAAATTCTTACCTTTTTCTTTTATCCTCCTCATTGTCAGTCACCTAGCCTTGGTTTTAGCTGTGGGACCCTGACAAATCAGTTACACTGTTTTAGTTAGGCCTTTGTTACTGCAAAGAAGACATTCTTATTTTCTCAGAAAGGTAGGCCTCAGGAAAAACATGAATTACACAGCAGAGACTGCCTAGGTGTAGACAGAATTAGGTGGCTATCAGTTCTGGAACTAGTTCACAATCTTTGACTCTCTCTTGGCTTCATAGCTCTACTTCCTGTTTTTTCTCTTTTGGTATCCTTTCAGTTTTAGCCACAACTACTAACTCTTTCATTACCTCAGCACCGCATACTTCAGGTTCCAAAAAGAGAATGTGGTTCTGCTAAAATACACCTGTTTGACAAAACCTTTCATGCTAAGTGCTGGTCAGCCAGTGTCTTTCTGGCCTGCTCCTTAAGTCAAGTATATGCTCCTGACTGCTATTCTTTTTCAGGGGCTGTCTTTTGGTATTTGTTGTGATTTTTGTTTTGTGGTTTTTTTTTTAATTGGATCTTAATTGTTTAATATTTCTTTTAGGCACCTTGAAAATGCCTTTTGAAATCATTTTTCTGCCACTGCCATTCCTGAGACTCTCTTTACTAGCTCTTACCTATATGAACGCAGCCTTATCCTCCCACTTCCTAATCCCCAGATAACTTCTTCCAGGTCATTTTAACATTGCATCTGGAGGCAGACCAGTACAAATCTCAACTTGTCTCTCTCGGTGTGTTAAATAACACTGTAGATTCCGCATATGAAGTCCAGGTTCTGTAGTCAGGCATGCAGGGTGCTCCATAATTTTGACCTAATTTAGTTTCTAATCTTTCCCTGGTATTCCCTCCCATGTATTTATGCTCCTACTTCATAGTAGTTAAACTACTATAAACAACAATTGTTGCAGTCTTGTTTATGGTGGCAAAAAAAAAAAAAAAAAAAAAAAAAAGAAACCAAAACTCCAAAACAGTGTAACTATGTTTCAAAAGGGGAATTGTTGAATATATAAGGATACCTCTATATTATGGAATAATATGCAATGCATTAAGTTTATTTTGCTTGTTACAAGTAACAGAAATGAATTTCAAACTTGTGTAAACCAAAAAGGACATCATTTGGTACATATACCTGAGGAGATCAAGATATGGTCTGGCTTCTTACATGACCGTGTGCAGAGCTTTGAACAGTGTCATCTGCGAAACATTGTCTTCTCTGTCTCTTGACTCTACTTCTTTTGGGTTGATATTATTCGTAGGAGGCTTTTCCTGTGGCCAGCAGTGTTTTGTGTTCTCAGCTTACCAACCGAGGGAAAATGACCTCTTTCCCAGTGGGTGCTGCGGAAGTGCTGGTTTTACTGCCTGGCGTGAGTCACATGCCAATTAATTCCTGAGGCAGCCAGCGGCAGAGGGGTGGAATGTCTTGGTTGTCTAGGCCCAAATAATGCACCCATCCCTATTGAGCTTCGTGGTGAAGCCATCCCGACTTGAACTGCATGAATTGAAAGAGAGGGCACCACGGGCGGAGTTTCCCAAAGGAAAATTGGATAGCAGATCCAGGATGAGGAAAAATGGATGCTGAGTAGGCGAAAGTAACAGAAGTCCTCCGTTATACTTTAAAAAGACGCAGAAGGAGGACTGACACTTGTCATATAACTATGTGTGCACAGGCATATGTAGATTGAGAAATGTGTGAAAGTAGACACATTAAGCTGTTCATATTGCTTATTGCAGGGGAGGAGTATGATTGGAGAACGTAGAGGACCGATTATAGTATTTCTTATGTGCCTCTGTATTATATGACTTGTTGCCAGGACACAGGTTATTATAGAAGAATAATTAAAAATATAAAACCTAAAAGTTCTAACGAAGAATTTTCCTCTTAGGAATATTGTTGTACCTGGCAATTGCTTTTGGGGTAGTAGTTAGTAGTAATAATAATGGTAACAGCTAACATTTCCTGAGTGCTTTCTGTGCATCAGGCAAATTGTGCACGTGATAGAATTTTTCATCTAACCCTAACAGTAACCTTCTGAGGCCTTGTGTGTGTGGTTTTTTTTTTTTTTTTTTAAAGATTTATTTATTTGTCAGAGAGAGAGAGCACAAGCAGGGGGAGCAGCAGGCTCCCTGCTGAGCAAGGAGCCCAATGGGAGACTCGATCCCAGGACCCTGGGATCACAATCCAAGTGGAAGGCAGACATTTAACTGACTGAGCCACCTAGGCGTCCCATGAGGTGTTGTTACTAACAATGATTGACATGTATATAAACTGAAACTTAAGAGAAATTGTTGGTCGTTCCCAGACCTAGCTGTCAGAATGACCTGGAAAATTAAAGCAAACAAACATATCCCCAGGCCGTACCATGAGCTACCAAATCAAAATCTCTTGTGGAGACCCTAATTTACATATTCAACAGGCATCCAAAGTGATTCATATGTAGTCAGTTTATTACTGAAGTTAGGAAATTGCACTGGATTATGTATTTAACTCATGGTGGCACAGTTCTTGAGAATCAGCTGGGTTTCAAACCTTAACAACTGCACTATTAATGACATGGTTATTTCCAGTGTGAAAGTTAGGTACAAGGTTTTTGGGCTAAATCAACCTTTGTAGACCAGCATGAAACTCTCTAATGGTTACGAGATATGTTTCTGTAGGGAAGAGTTTTGAATTCTAGGCATCTAATTTACAAATGACCTTTTCAAACACTAGATAAAGGTTTACTCAGAGCAAGATAATCTTGTCATTGGACCAGCTGTATTATGCATTACAAGAGTTAGCAGTCTGGCTCAGTTGGAAGAGCATGTGACTCTTGATCTTGGGGTCATGAGTTCAAGCCTCGTTTTGGGTGTAGGGATTACTTAAATAAATAAGAAAAACTTAAAAAATTTTTTTCAAACCTCCCCTCCCTCAGAATTGGCACCTTTTTTTTACTGTGACAGCATATTACTATTTTATCTTCATGAAGTGTGATGACACAGATAGGTGTATTGTTTTGTGCAGTACTGTAGTATTTCCTTTAAGATATCCACTTACTGGGGTGCCTGGGTGGCGCAGTCAGTTGAGTGTCCAACTCTTGGTTTTGGCTCAGATCATGATCTCAGTGTTGTAGAGTCAAGCTCATTGCAGATTCTGCTTGAGATTCTCTCTTTCCCTCTGCCCCTCCCACTTGTGTGCTCTCTCTTTCTAAAATAAATAAACACATCTTAAAAAAAAAAAAGATTAGCATTTGCTATTTAATAAAAAATAAAACAGTACAAACATAACACACGCCAGTCTTCATTCCCCATCTCCTATCCCCCTCTCTCACACACAGGTGTATTTTGGTTAAACATCACCAACATAATTTCTTAAACTTTTAATGTAAAAATCTGAGTTTCTGTTCAATTTTGCAAACATTTAAAAGGCAAATGTGTAGTATTTTACTTGTTTTGGCATTTATAAGGAAGGAAAGCATTATATTGAGGTAATAATTAAACTTACACAATGAAAATTTACAACTTAATTAAGCTAGAATAATGATAATTTCCTAAGAAATAAACTGAAATAAATTTGATTTTCTTAGTGTGCTTGTTGTAATTCAGCAGATAGTAATGCACTGAGCTAGGAGTGCAGACCATTCAAGTCCACTTCAGCCTGAGCACACACAGAGCAGCAAGCATAGTATATAGAGAAGAAAGTGAATGTTGACCATTGGATTCAGTGTTGTGCTACCACTTTTCATAGTCTTCCCATTTCTGGTCATGACTATCTTTGGGCTCACTGTTGTTATCTGAGTTTTCTCGGCATTTGAGGTCATCTTCATATTTGAGATCATCGGGAGGTTTGAAGTTGTCTTGAATTCTGAGGTTGTATGGAGATTTAAAATTGTCTTGAAACTCGAATTTGTGTTGGCATTCAGAGTTGTCTTGGAACTTGGGGTTGTCATGGAATTTAGGCTCTTCCTGGGACTTGAGTCTGTCGTAGACCCTGAGGTCATCAGTTCTGTAGTTATCCCCGAAGTGTTAGTGACAAACAGGAGGAACAGGCTGATAAATGATAGCTTGAACATCATTTTCCTGTTTCAGAACAATTACAGAAATTTACTGACACTTTGAACACAAATCTAAGATCCAGCTTTTTTTAAAACAGGGAAAACTGAAGGAAACCTCCTTCTAGCCCTGGGGAAATGCCAGTCTTTGGTTTAACAGTTTAATAGTTTTTGGGGTGCCTGGGTGGCTCAGTCCATTAAGTGTCTTGTCTTCAGCTCAGGTCAATCCCAGGACCCCATGGGAGTCCTGGGATTGAGCTCTGTGTTGGGCTCCCTGCTGATGGGGGAGCCTGCTTCTCCCTCTCCCTCTGCTGGTCCCCCTGCTTGTGCTCTCTCTCAAATAAATAAATAAAATCTTTAAAAAACAAAACATCTTCATAGTTTTTAAGATAGAGGGAAATTTAGAGGAATCAATATCCGTTCCTTCATTTTACAGATGGGCTCAGACAAAGGGCATAAGTTGCTTATGGATGCATATCTAAAAATGACCAGAACTAGAACTTGAGTCGGACTCTTAGTCCAGAATTTGTTAGTAGATCTGGAATGTGAAAGCATAGAATAGACAAAGACCAAAAGTTCAATAGTAAACCATTTTTAAAGTAAGGCTAATTTTTATTTTTTTAAGATTTTATTTATTTATTTGACAGACACAGCGAGAGAGGGAACACAAGCAGGGGGAGTGGGAAAGGGAGAAGCAGGCTTCCCACTGAGCAGAGAGGCGCATATGGGGCTCAGTCCCAGGACCTCAGAATCATGACCAGAGCTGAAGGCAGCCGCTTAACAACTGAGCCACCCAGGCACCCCTAATTTTCTTTTATCTTACATTCAAATCAATGGGTTGCCACATCTGAGATAATACAGTTAGCACATGTTGGTCATGGTTAAATATTCTTTTCTTTTTTTTTTTAAACTTAAAGCTCACACTTCAATTTTAGTACTCTAATTTACATTTGGTTCTAACATATAATTCAGAAAATTTCAAATTAATATTACCTTTCGATGTTTTTTCTTTCAGGATTATGAACTCAGGCTTTCTTCAGTGTCTTGTGGGGAATCTTAACTTCTACTGTATGCTCTTTAAATATAATTAGTGAGGAAGTCACGTGTTCTGAACTTGACCTGCCATTTACTCTTTGAAAATCTCCTATTGGGTGTTTTCCAAACAACTGGTGTAAACAGATGGACCTTGGCAGAGATCAAGGAAGGCAAATAAAGTCTTTCCAAAATCTACATGCTTTTTTTTTTTTTTTTTAAGATTTCATTTATTTGTTTGTCAGAGAGAGCACACACAGGGCAACTGGCAGGCAGAGGGAGAAGAAGCAGGCCACCCTCTGAGCAAGGAGCCTGATGCAGGACTAGATCCCAAGACCCTCCGTTCATGACCTGAGCTGAGGGCAGGTGCTTAACTGAGCCACCCAGGTGTCCCTCTACTTGCTTAAGGAATCCAGTGAATATATCTTTTCTCATTCCTCTTATCTGTGTATTCATTACATAGTTTCTTCACTGCACTGACTAGAGGAATATGTTATTTTGCGTGCCGTGATTATCATGACTTACAATCAAGTAAGTATACTAGAGATAGGTGTCTTTATTTTTCTTGAAGATCTTGTAAATATGTTTATTGGTAGTTTCTGACCATGGTTATTTTGAAGTATTAAAAACAATTTGGGAATATAGCATTCCAGGCATTTAACAATACATAATTAAAGAAACCTATTAGAGAAGAAGTTAAACTTTATTAATATAAAACAAAGAAAAGGATCGCATATGAAAGTGATACTGTCATACTTCATTAACAAAGTTGTTTCTAAGTAATTATTTTTTTTAAGTAGACTCCACACCCAGTGTGGGGTTTGAACTCACAACCTTGAGATCGAGTCACCTGCCTTGTGACTAGGCCAGCCAGGTGCCCAACAAAGTTTTTTTTGTTTTGTTTTTTGGTTAAAGACTTATTTGTTTATTTTAGAGAGAGAGAGAGAATGAGACAAAGAGCCAAGAGGACTCCCTGCTGATTGCAGAGCCTGATTCAGGGCTCAGTCCCACCACCCTGAGATCATGACCTGAGCTGAAATCAGGAGTTGGGGGGTGCGTGGGTGGCTCAGTGGGTTAAGCCTTTGCCTTCAGCTCAGGTCATGATCTCAGGGTCCTGGGATCGAGCCCCGCATCAAGCTTTTGCTCAGCAGGGAGCCTACTTCCCCCTCTCTCTCTGCCTGCCTCTCTGCCTACTTGTAATTTCTGTCTGTTAAATAAATAAATAAAATCTTAAAAAAAAAAAAGAAAAGAGTTGGTTGCCCAACCAACTGAGCCATGTAGGCACCCCTCCCAACAAAGTTTTTATATATAGATTAAACCACCCACATTGAAGCACATTAAGTATATTCTTTAAAGGAATTTTGTCTTTTGATTACTTCTTTTCCTTGATAACTAGCATACAGGGAAGAGTTTGGTTGTATTGTGCTAATGTTTTCATCACATTGGCCAGCACTCTTTAAAAATTGCAGGGCTGTGACCGGTGGTGTTGACATACAAGGAAATTGCTCCATAAATGGCAGAAGTACAAGTCGGTACATGTTCCTCACTTGTTTTACTTTGCTATAAGGATTTGTATTTCTCCTGAATGAATAAAACAGTGCTTGCTACATCTTATTTATATGGTACATATAACAGAGAACCTCACTTAATTGGAGGTTAGTGTGTTAGACCTAGAAGTCAACATAAAAAACCTCTTAGCAACGGAGTAGAATTTTATAAACCGGAATACTCAGGTAATGCACTGGTAACTCCTAGAGATGCTTCAAACACTTCAGTCTCAACTTATTTAAAATTTTAAAATTCAAAACTTTTCCCTTTCCCAGTTTCGAGCCCAGATAGTTTCTTCTTAATCTTTATCAGTTAATTGCATCATCACCTAGCAAAATGGCTCTCCAACCTTGGACTCCTCATTACCTTCTTTTTCTTACTACTCTTAAGCTGCCCGGGCCTTGTGATGATAATTAAGTAAAATTTAAAATTCTGAACTCTTCAGCACTCCGATGCTCCTAAACAAAAATCATTTGCCATCCATTTTTTAGGCCTTTAAATATCTCCTGCCTCTGTTCATTTGCATAGCCTTCCCTGTCTGCCCAAAGTACTTCTTCCTCGTTCAAAATTTTGTGCTTCTTTCCAGCTCTAACTCTAATGGTGGTGCCTTTCATGTGAGCTTTCCCTAATTCTACACTTCAGAATCAGTCATTTTAAGACTTTAAACTTTTAGAGCACTGATCAGAGTCTGCTTTTTACCATAGATGTATCCTAAATCTTTCTTCCGCCATATTCTGGTGTTTCATCGTCCGGCATTACCTCTTACTCTTTGTATCCCCTCTACCTGCTAGCACAGTGAGTGGTGGGACAGAACAGGACACAATGAACATTGGACTATATGGCGGTATCTCCTTTGTTTTGTCATGTCCAAGGGCTGATATCATTAATGATGTCAAAAATAATAAGAGCCACCTGGTCATTTGCCGTTTTCCCAAGTGTTAAGTTGGCCAGTCAGAGGTCTCAGTTGAAGTCCCATCTCTTATTTTCTGACTGCTGTTTGAGAGAGTTTTGTATTTGTATAATGTGGATCATAGTGCACATTCGTAATAGCTTTATCTGCAGTTCTGAGATCCCAAATCCTCTGAAAATGTAAAGTTTTGCCAAAAGAAAAAAAAAGTTTGGTAACAAAACTTACTTGATAGAAACTTCTAACCTGCACTGGTGTGAGGCTTTTCGTTATTGTTACTAGCACTATCTATATTTGTCCCACTTAGTGTGGATTATGTAATATATAATACGACTAGTACTTATATTTGTGTTTCTTCTGTTCCTTCTGGGTACGTTACCATACCATTCCAAGCATCTTTGTAGTCAGGTGGTACTATATGACTGTGTCCTGGTCAGCAGAATGTAGATTCCCCTGATGTGTCTCCCTTCCAGGCCTTCTCACCATTCTTCATCTTGTTCTCATGTCAGAACCCACTAGAAAAGAGGGTTCAGAATGGGGGTCTTAGATGTGTTTGAACTGCTGGGTGACATGATACAAGTGAGAAATAAACCTCTGTTGTCTTTTGTTGAGGGTTATTTTGGCATTGTGACAGAAGTTCGTGCTGACTGGTGTACCTGTGCGCTGGGTAATTTGCCTTTGCCTCTCCAGATCTACTCCCTCTACCTCTCCACTCTGTTGACCCCTGAGAGGCTGCCCTGTGTGGAAGATAGCACTGAGCTTCTTTCCTCATTCATTCCATGTGACCTGTTGGAAATAATGTATTCCTGCAAGGTCACTGTGGGTTGACTACATCCCTCTGTGAAGATAACAGTTTTTGTCAGGCAGCCCTCTCTGTGTCTGGTGTCTGGTAACTGCTCCTTGCCCTGCTCCTTCAGGTCTACTCTCTCACTGTCTTTTATAGTTTTCCTATCTCTCTTATACTAAACCCTTACCCCTCCTTAATGCATATTCTCCAATAGCTCAGTGTGAGTGTGCCGTCTGTTTCCTGCCGGAACCCAAACTACTACAAACAATATGTGCACTGTATTGTCTTCCTCAAAATCTGAACAACTCTAAATTTGGAAGTATGTCTTGTCCCAGGGGTTTCAGATGAAGGATTGTGGGGTCTGTGCCAAGTTTATAGGTTTATTGTGACTATTAATTGTGAATATTTGAATGGCATTCAATACAGTGCCCACCATATAATACACATTGGGCAAATAGTAGCCAGAATTGATGTAAGAATAGCAATTATGTTGTTAATTTTTTTCTGGGAAATTTAAATTTCTCATACTTAATGCTGGAGCTTTAGAACTAGCAAGCCATTATAAGAGCAGTATCTTCCTTTACATACTTATATTACCTTGAATTGGCCTACTTTTTTTTTTTTGGTGTTTCTAGAATTTTCTACCTTCACATATTCTTTCAGAACTCTTAAAAAATGGAGAAAAATGTTCTTATTTATAAAATTATCTCAATGCTCATAAATTTTGTGTAGCAATTTCTTGAGAATTTCAAGCAATTTGAGTATGTTATTCTAGAAACAATTAGGCCCCGTCTTCCCATCCGTCACTTTTCTCTTTGGTCTTTGAATTTTTGTCTCACAAATAGGACACTTAAAAGTTTTCTTGGGTGGCAGTTATGCAAACACTTTTGGCAATGGAAGAACTTTTTGCTTTTTGAAAGATAACCTATAAGTACAATGCCATGGACACTTATTGCTCCTGTGCCTTATATCGCTTAAACATTGAACATTTTGGAAGTTATGTATGTTTGGTTAGTTCAGAAAGCAGTTAGGGTGTTCGGGATTGATGTTTTTGTCATGCTACTGGTGCGCTTTTACCTGTATTTGAAAGTAGAACATTTAAAACATTTCAGGAGTGTGTAGCACAAGTGGCTTTCTTTCTTTCTTTCTTTTTTTTTAAAAGATTTTATTTATTTATTTATTTGATAGAGAGAGAGAGCACAAGTAGGCAGAGAGGCAGGCAGAGAGAGAGAGAAGCAGGCTCCCCGCTGAGCAGAGAGCCCGATGCGGGACTCGATCCCAGGACCCCGAGACCATGACCCAAGCCGAAGGCAGAGGCTTTAACCCACTGAGCCACCCAGGCGCCCCACAAGTGGCTTTCATTGTGGACAGTTACTTGTAAAGAAACCATTTGTGAGCCCCCTGAGAAAGTGGATGTGCAAATACACATAAGCAGGATATTGTTATGTTAGACTTGAATGTGATACCTTTTAGAATTGTACTTAAGCACTTTTCTGTGGTAAAATACCAGCCTTTTTGTTTTAGAAATCTAACAGGAAAAAATAACACATTTCCCCTTAGTTGCAAAATACGTGTTCCAAAGGCAAATGTCTGTCTTTGAACAAGTTGTTTCCTAATTTTATAATACTGTAAGTCTGTTATCTAATTTTGGGTTGTTATCATTTATTCTTATTTTTTTCTTATTTTTATTTACTTCCAATGGGAAAAAGTAATTTAGTTTTTAGGAGAGATTCTTTCTCTTTACTTCCTTTGGGTAATGGTA